GCCGGGGAGAACTACAGGTCGCATAGTGCCACCAGATGTCGCGCAAGCACGACAGGCGCAGATAAATAGATTTTAGATCGTGGGTGATGTATTGTAACAGCGTTGATTTCTACCATGCATGTATTTTAGCAACTCACAGCGTGGGCGCAGGCACTGGAACCACAACGGCTACCACAACTGCACGTAAGTATGTCCGACATACGACTTATGTTTGGACTCTAGGCAACGCTGCCCAAGCGGCCTTTTCCGTTAGGAGGCCGAGCGACGGAGTGCGCGCAGCAATTTTTTTTTTTGTTTACCGGTTGAAACCCGCGGAGAGTAGAGTGATAGCTTTAGCGGCGGCTACCGCCACCATGGGTCGACCAAGAAGGAACACCGGTGAGTTACCAGCTATCCGGCCTGTTAGTTACGCGCGGGCCCTTCGCACGAGGCAATCATGGCGCGCCCCTCTAACCGGCGGTCTAATTTTCGTCAGCCAATTAGTCTGCCAAGTTGCTTGAATACTGGCAGTTGGCACTTTTGTTCTGTTACTACCCTTCGCCCCATACTAATGTGGCCGCCCGTCTCAGACACTCAGTTGGCCCTCCGGGCGGTCACATACACCAGCTTGTAGCTTGGCCCTGAACTATGCCCTGCCCACTGGCATGTCATGCCATGCCAGCGCCACCTTCACAATCTTGCTCGGTTACATGCACCAGTGTCATCGGTTCGCACTAAACAATGCCCTAACCGCACACTGGCACGCCATCCCGAGGGCATGCCCGACAAAGCCGGCCATACCCAGGGGTGGAGATTTGCCTAATTCCCAGGGGGTGCTTTTCTGTTTGATACTTTGGTTAACAAGCTGCTATGTTGGTTTTGCATTGTTTGTGGGGGTGCTTTGCGTTATGAAGGGGTGCTCGTGCACCCTCAAACCCCCTTTTCTCCACCCATGGCCATGCCTGACTGGCCTGCCTATTTACCTGGGCTGTCATGCTACGTCACCACTAGATCATCAATGCAGCATAGCAGCCGGCTTTCGTGCTTCCACAGAGTGGCCCAATGCCAGCAGTGACCTGACACCCAGTCGGCCCGCTGCAGACCGGTGCAAGACGACACCCCGGATCAACGGCCGTCCGACCGCCGGCCACGGGCCCGTCGCGGCCTTGAGCTGACGCCACGCCGGATGAGTCACCCGGCCGCCCCCCGGTGCGGAGGACGGTCAAGGTTGTCCGCTGGCCTGCCCCAGCTTACAACTCACTGTCAACTACCATGTCATTACGTCGCTACTAATGACATGTCTGCTGGCCTGCCCCAGCATACCACTCACTGTCACCTACCATGTCATTACGTCGCTACCATGACATGTCTGCTGGCCTGCCCCAGCATACCACTCACTGTCACCTACCATGTCATTACGTCGCTATTAATGACACGTCCGCTGGCTTGCCCCAGCATACCAATCACTGTCACCTACCATGTCATTACGTCGCTACTAATGACACGTCCGCTGGCTTGCCCCAGCATACCGCTCACTGTCACCTACCATGTCATTACGTCGCTACTAATGACACGTCCGCTGGCTTGCCCCAGCATACCACTCACTGTCACCTACCATGTCATTACGTCGCTACTAATGACACGTCCGCTGGCTTGCCCCAGCATACCACTCACTGTCACCTACCATGTCATTACGTCGCTACTAATGACACGTCCGCTGGCTTGCCCCAGCATACCATTCACTGTCACCTACCATGTCACTATGTCCCTACCATGACATGTCAGCTGGCCCCTGCCCCCAGCACATAACTCAATGTCAACTACCATGTCATTACGTCGCTACTAATGACATGTCCGCTGGCTTGCCCAGCATACAACTCACTGTCAACTACCACGCCATTACGTCGCTGCCAATGGCATGTCCGTTGGCTTGCCCCAGCTTACCACTCACTGTCAACTACCATGTCATTACGTCGCTACTAATGACATGTCCCCGCTGGCCCTGTCCCAGCAGCTCCTTCTTGAGCACTGACCAGCGGCATGACGTTTAATTTCTGAGGACACCAGTACTTCTCATGCAGTGGCAGTGTTTACGTTTCCCTAACTCAGGTTGGATACAGGTCAGCTTGTATGGTCGCGTGGGGGTGCATATTCTGCATTCACGAACCACAAACCCCCAGGTCATGTCCGAGCTTTCCCCCATCTTACTGAGTTGTTCTACTTCTCCTCAACAAGTTGAGGGTCAGGACCGTTGCCGAAGGCGACTATAAACCTCAGATCGCTGAGTTCCGCTCAATATACTACATATGTACCCTGGCTAAGCTTCGTCATAGCACCCTGTCACCACTGCCAGCCAGCTTACCATCACCGTTACTATTCACCTCTAGTTTATCTCACTCTAAAGTATTATTATACTATTATCTATACTACTATACTACCACTATCTACCCCCAACAGTCGCCCCTCCACCTCAATCGGGATATCCCGTCACGCCGCTGCTGACAACCACAATCTCGTCCGTCGCACGGACTACCCCACCCGCCATAGGTATATCCCGTCACGCCGCTGCTGACAACCACTATCTCGTCCGTCGCACGGACTACCCCGTCTGTCTTACACGCCGTCATGCCGCTGCTGACGACACAGCTATCTCGTCCGTCGCACGGACCGCCTCGTCTGTCATACATGCTGTGACGCCGCTGCTCACATCCACCTATCTCGCCCGTTGCACCGACTGTCACGTCGGTCACATATACTGTCACACCGCTGTGACTACCCCGCCCATCACACGGACTGTTCGTCTGTCTATTACACCGTTACGCACCCGGCTGTTAATATGTCATGCCGCCGCCTACCCGCCTTGCCTGTCACACACCATGTCACGCCGCCGCCGACGTACCAAACCGTCACGCCCGCCCTGCTCGCCACCACCGCTGTCATGGCGCCGCCGACAGCCCACCGTCACACCAGACGCTGCTCGCCTGTTTGTCATGTGCCGTTCATCACCTGGTCACCCAGCCGGCTGCCGCGTTATATAGGTATTTCTAAGCCGGGCCGTCACCCACCACCGCCTGAGGCTACCCGGCGTCCTAGGGAGTGCCGTTTTTTTTTTTTTGCGTCGCGGCGAGACTGCCAGTATTTTCAACAGTGCCCCTACCACCAGGGGTGCGGAGCCGGAGCCGGAGCCGACGGAGCCGGCACATTTTTGCCCGGAGCCGGAGCCGGCGACGGAGCCGCCATGATATTTCACCCGCAGCCAGAGCCGGAGCTGGAGCCAATTTTTTTCTCTCCGAAGCCGGAGCCGGAGCCGAAGCTGTCTGAGTTTTCCACGGCTCCGCTTCCCTGCCTACCACGCTCTGCTATTTCCACTCAAACTTCGCTAAACAGCTGGTCGGTTTTTTCATGTCATACCAAACTGTCCTGCCCGCCGCGCTCGTCACCACCACTATCACCGCCGGCCGTCTCGCCCGGTTGCCATTTCCCACCTACGCCTGGTCACCCTGCCAGTCACCGCGGCGCCTTTCTGGACTGGACCGGGCTGTCCCCTGCCACCGCCGGCCGCACGTCTGTTTGCTAGCGTCCCCCCCCCCCTTAGCTGGTGCACTTCTCTCGCCGCGCTCCCCGCCGCGACCGGCTCCTCGGCCATCCTATCAGTATCGGGCCGGTGGCTCCCCGCCGTAAGTCTGTTTACTTAGCGCCGCCCTCCTCACCAGCGCCCATTGTTTGCGCTCACCTGTCGCAGAACGCTGCGGCCATCGCTGTGTGGTGGTTAGTGTGATGGATCCGTTTGTGTGCCGTTACGACTATCGCCAGGGTGTCCCGGTTCGATCCCAGGCAGCGCCGGACCTTCGGGCTGCGGCAGGCTGTGTATCTTTAGCACAGGGGGCTACGCGCCTGCGCATCGCCTTTGTTGCCACCTACCGCCGATACGTCACGAGCCGTCACTCTGCTGTCGGTCATGCCCGTTCCACGGTCACCGCGTCTGTCATATGCTGTTGTCACGCCACCACCACCGGCCGACCTGTCACGTTCATCGCACGAGCTGCCTATCCGTCACATATCGCTTACACGCCGATACCGTCACGCCGTTGCCGACAACCTGGCATGTCATGGCTCGGACCTGGTCAGTCATGACCCATTAAGAATATATTATCCTTTATCCTTTATTTACTTTTCGGAACCTCTGCTGTTCGTATGACGTCATTTCAAAACAATAATTTGGCATAATTAAAATTAAAAGTGCAGTAGATGCACGCACAGCAGTACATACCACCAAATCACCCCTTAATTTGAAACACATGAACCAGGCAGTAACTGGCCTGTTGCAATGCCTCCCGGAATCATATGAAGCACCAGAATTCTCCAGTCAGCATTGCAGCACCTCCAGAAAGTTCCAGAAACTCTACCCAAATCTTCAGCAACTTCACCTGTTATGAAGTCGCCATTTGCATTAAGGCTGCAGGATACAATTATGGTGCAAATGACAATTGTAAATATAAGCAGGACTTTTCGGCCCTACAAACTAGACTCAGTCACCTGGCTGGCCAGCTGATGCCATACTCATAGTGATAGTAGATCCATTAAAATTTACATATTAGGACAGAAAGTAAATAAACAAACTAGCAGTAGGTAACTAGATATAGATGTTAACTTTTCTATCCATGCACTGATGTGACAGCTCTGCTAGTATCACCACGTCACTGCAGCTGGCAAAAAAAATCCAGATATTAATCACCTTGACATTTGAGCTTATTTTACAAATCAGATATAAAGACAATACAATGCCTACATGTTATGAAATTTTACATATTAAACATGAACAAATGCTTTTAAAGATCAATATATCATTTTTCTACACCTGAACACAGTCACTAAAAATAATAGTAGGTATTTGTCAAGATAAGGTTCCAATTACAATTGCAACATGGATAAATATCAACAGAAGTTTTTAGATGCAACAGTAGGGTTAGGTCAGGTTTGATTTTCATTTTCCTTAATTCGGGAAACGTTTCATTTTTGGATCAGACATCAAATTATTTAAGAATATGAAAAATTATCCTTCAGAAGTTGTTGACTTTATCTTCACATATACCAAAATATCCAGTGTTCATGAAAATTCAGTCAAACATGCGACGATGGAAATGGAATCATGAATGAAATGCAATGGGCACCTACCATTTTGTTCTGGCATGTTGCCAGAACAAGCCCATTTCAAAACACCAACACTGTAAGTGTTACCGCCTTACCTGTCCGCACAACCTGGCCCTGCTCCAGCTGCCTCCCCCACATCACTTTGACGCTCTGCCCAACCAAATCGTCCAAGTTTGAGCCCTTGGTGTATCTGAATGCGATTCCATTAACGCTTTGAACATGTCCTGGCTTAATGATAGACCGCTTAGGAGGAAATTCGGCCCAGCGCACTAGGAGTAACATGTCGAAGCTAAAAAAAAATCCGCACACAGCTCCTGCTCTCAATGCCAAGGCCGTATAAGCTCAATGCCGCCACCTCCAAGGCCGTATCACAAACCGCAATGAACGGTGGCGCCGGGCGTCCTTGACCCAGTTACCGGAAGACAGCATGGCGCCGTGGCATGCGATATTTTGGGAAAATAGTTTTCTTTTTATTTTGTTGTTCAGGTGCTAAGTTGATGAATTTTTCTTTTTAATTTAAAATAAATTTTGATTTAAAAATTAAGTCTTAGTTTTGCCCGTATGCCAAATAACTTAAATTTTGATATGCTACAAAATAGAAACTTTTGTTTTTCGAGAAACGCATGAAAACCAATGAGCTACGCCTTCGATTTCTCAATTCACATGAAAATCTGAACCACATTAAGAGCCAATAAAAAAAGATTAAAAATAAAAATATTGGTAGGTATGCAGCGCTGTTCCGACGCCATCGCTGTTCCGACGCCACCGGTTTACATGCATTGGACGCCAACTATATACGAAAACATACAATCATTTTCAACCTACCTTTAAATACGTCATAGATAATTTTTGAAGGTACTGATGACAAGGCCAGAAGAACAGCAAAAGTCAGCTTGATTGAAAGCAAATCAATCGTGGCAAAAGCATACATTCAGTTGTAGCACAGCTTACATTCTCATTGCACAACATTTACCAGTAGGCTTATGCATGAGTGAAAGTAGCGTGTGATTCTATGACGTCATTTTCTACCTGGAAATTGTCAACTTTATACGCTTTGTGTACGGATGACCATGCATGTTTCAGCGCATTGTCCTTACACTTTGACGGACGCACGAACCGAGCAGCTACTAAGCTACGCTGGTTGATCCGCTTGGTGAACGCTACCAGGTGAGAATACGCGCCCTGACCCAAAACAATAACAGTGACAATAGGTGGGAGAAGGCAAGGCCAAATAGGTTATAAATAGAATAGTTATATGACTGGCAGTATATAAGGGAGGAGGCCATTGTCTTCAGGGCTCGAAATCCTGTTCCAATTTATTTTGAGATAGGTTGCCCTGTTGTTGTGCGGAACAGTTGTGGGCAGAGGCGGATCCAGCTCAGAGGTTTGGGGGGGGGGGGGCAAACCATAAAAATTTATCGATTCTTTCCATGCATCGTCCATAGGCGTAATGTTAAAATCATGCCGTTTGGGGGGGGGGGCAAATGCCCATTTTGCCCCCCCCCCTGGATCCGCCACTGGTTGTGGGTATGTTTTGGTATGTTTGTAGATGAAGTACAGAGTGCCATATTTAGGCCCTGCAATAATCTTTAACTTGTTATCTATCGCTGTGTGTGCCAGGGCTAATATTACTCGCTTTTTCGTCTGGGAGAAGATAGGCCCCTCTTGCACAGAGACACATGTCAAAATTGTTTTCACGTGGTTCTGCAGACCAGACCATTAATATCAAATATGAATCCCAATCTAAATACGTTGCCAAGTTTGTAGAAATATTCGTCCAATGAGACTGCGAATTTGGGGTTAGTCTCTGTGCAAGAGGGGCATATCTTCATCCGGACGATAGATTGAGTCTAATATTAACCTGAAATTGAGTTGTGTGTACCTAATTTTTGCCTCACAAGTTAAAAAGTTTTTGCTGAGTTGAAAATGAGGTATGGGAACAGCGGTGGCCCGTTAAAGGGACCCTCCCACCTTAACATTAGTTTTGAGTTGAGATAGCCAAGTTTGCGGCCAGGCTCAGAAACCACCATTTATCCTGGTCGCAACCCCCGCAGCTTTATGGTGTTCAAGAAATTTCTTCCCTTTACTTGCAGGGTGGGACCAGCGTGGTCCCTATCTCTTAACCATTACGGGAATCTGATGACGTCATCAGGCTTTCGAACGTCCGTTTAATGTTTGACTAAAACGTTTTGTAGCACGCGGTGGTATATGCTGCTTTGCGCGCAACAAATGCCGCACTTTCAAATAAAGTCGCTAGGAACAGCGGAGATCCCAAAAAGTAAACGAAAGTAAAAGTCTAATATCTTGAAAACCGGTGAATATTTTTCGATGAAATTTGGTAGATATTCGTTTTTGCTCTTTCTGAACCGAGCGACATCACTTTCATGCCAATTCATTAACTTTTTTGAAGGTGGGAGGGTCCCTTTAAACAGTAAGTGCAAAAAAGTGCATCAGTCATGCCACTTTTTGCAGGGTTATTATAAACTACTGGTGTTATGTTCCTAGCTTTTGTTGTGTGTTACATGATTGTAGCAAACATGTGCATTGATCTGAGTGATGGATCTATGATCTCAGTGGATCTTGACAGAATTTGCAGTTTATGATCTATTATCCCACCAGATCCGAAGCTAAACATGTATCCTGGATCTATGATCTCATAGGATCTGATGGTAAACTAAGAGCATTCAGATGTATGATGTGAGCAGATCCTATCATAAAACTATTTAAAACCATGTTTCCGAGGGTTTTTATGACAGTAAGTGCTAACAAACTATGCATAATTACAGGCAATCACTGAAAATCACTAAAACAGAAGGCTTGTGAATGGCAACAAGTGATTTTGTGGGATTTACATGTTGACAAAAAAATCACTGGGGATCTATGATCTCACTGGATCTGAAGTAAGAAAATAAGACTCAAATTAATGAGCCCTGTTGATCTTTCCAAAAACATAGCGGGTGAATCTATGATACCATGGGATCCAAGATCAGGAGCTGTGGGATCAGATCCCAGATCCATTTTATCATATCCATGCACATGTCTGAATTGTAGTTATGTTTTCACATTGAACTGCTTTCCCAGTATTACAGCAATCCATTTTATTCTTCCAGACTGTAATATGTCTGACGTGGAAGTGCTTGATGAGGGGCTGTCAGCTGATAGCTGTGACACATCATCCAGCTCATCATACAATCAAGCTTCTGAGTTGTCATCAGCAGCAAGTGATATTGCTGATGACAGTGACAGATCACTGTCTGATGTGGATAGCCAACAAAGCACCTCTGAGCTCTCATGTGCTGCTAGTAGCGAAGAAGTAAGTTCTCACGAAAGTTTGTTCAAAGTAACTTTTAGCTTGTATTCACCAAATTTAACAAATTTGAAAACCAATTATTATAACATAACCCGCGCCGTGCTATAGGGAACAGAAACACCTTTGAAAGTGCTATCATATTTGCTTTTCCGCGGTGCTCTTGCTCTATTGGTTTTCATGTTAGTCGGTAGCTGTTTTAAAATTGTTGAAATAGCCGAAAGTTGACCTATGGCGACCAGGTAACCTGACCTTTTACCTGACCTAAAAAATGACTGAAGTGTTTTGTCCTGTTTTTGGGCTCGCTTTCAATTGCCACTTATCGCGTGTCGCTGCATGGCCCAGGAGTCGAGCTAGACGGGGGCAGCTGTGAAAACGTCCCTGCCCCCTGCCCCCCCCCCCCCCCCCAGCACGACACGGAAAACGAAGGCCACCAGAACGGCCCGGATTAAGCATTAGGCCAGTTGTCTCAGCTCATATCGAGTTGAACTGAAGCTTTGTTTTTGCAATATTTGTTCAGCCTCTGTTTCTGTAGAAATGAAATCTAAGTCCTTCAGATTGTATGCTACTTTAATCTGGTATTGACACCTATATAAGTGAAGGCTTGAACCTACAATAATATTATGCCTGACTTACAGGACTTCGAAAACGTCCAGGAGTCAGTTTCACTGGACAACAACGTGCTAGCTCCAGTGGTGGATGGTACATCTTCAGAGCCTGGAGATTTAGCAGATGCTCTACCCTGTCAGGTACCTAGGCAGTACATTGGGCTGTAGAAACAGTATTTACCTATACTCGTACTCCAGTAGAAAAGAAATGTTTGTATGTACTCAGTTTTAGTAGGTAAATAAATGTATCAAGTAATTAAGTTGAAATGATGTGGAAAAATAACTTTTTGCGCATTAAGTACTTAAGAAAACCAGAAATGAGTGAATTTGTTGTTTGCTTACCTGAGTTGTGAGCAAAAGGTTTCTTTTCTATCTTATTTCAATTATAATCATAATAAGCATAATTAAGCCTTCAGCATGAATGAAATTAAATTACAGCATGAATGACCTAATAGGCACTGTATTTGTTTGTGGAAATCAACACTGGGATCCGCGACAATGGGATCAGGCCTGCCATTTAGTAAGAGAATGATCATTAGCTAGGGGTAAGCTAGATGTCATGTCGATATTACGTCATTCGATTCAGAAGCATCACTGTAGCCTGGTGCACATTTTTTATTCCCATCCATGCTTTCTCCGCAGGCAGACATCCCAGTTGGTCGGCCTTCCCTGAAAAGACGGGTCAATGAAGAAGTGGAAGATGATGATGGTGCATCTCAAGTCGCTTCAAACTGCTCCGGAAAGGATGCTAACTGCAGTGACGCACCACATATAAGTTCAGAGGAGCTGGTGAGCCTGGTGTTAAGTTTTGGCCTCCGACATGGTTTGTCAAATTCGGCCATGACGGATCTAGTGGAACTGATGAATGTCATATCCAGTTCGTCGTGCGAAATGCCTCCCACGAGATACCTCATGATGAAGAGTATCGCCAGCCGGCACGAGCGAAGGTCATTCCATTATTACTGTATAAATGAGAAGTGCAGAGCATATGTTAAAGCTGACCAGGAAATGTGTGACTACTGCGGGACGCCTTTTTCGATGAAGGAGGCAAAAAAAGAAGGACATTTTTTTATTCACCTTTCACTAGCAGACCAGCTGCGCGATTTGTTGGAGACGGGATACATTTCCAAAAACCTATTGAGAAATGAAAGGCAGAGATCTCGCATATCTGATATTGTCGATGGGGAGCTATACAAGAAGCACTCTTTGCTGGGAAAGGGAGATCTTTCAGCTCTGTCCATCAGTTGGAATTTTGATGGCCTTCTAGTGCATGAAACCTCTGGTGCATCCGCGTGGCCCGTTTTGGCTACTGTTAATGAACTCAGGCCTGAGGTCAGGAAGGACCAAATGCTTATGTGTGGCATTTGGTATGGCAGGTCCAAGCCTCTCTGGTCAACCATGTGTCAGCCTTTTGTAGATGAACTGACCTCTCTTAGCACGCATGGCTTGAACTGGGTGCACCCAACGGACGGTACGAAAGTCACAAAGGTGATTCCGCTGATGACGATGTGCGACTCGCCAGCGAGATGCATGGTGCAAGCGATTCACCAATTCAACGGTGAATACGGATGCACATGGTGCCTGCAGGCCGGCACCAGGGTAGCAACTGGACATGGGTTTTGTCGTGCTTATCCGTACGAGGAAGACGTTCCCCAACGCACCAATCAAAGCCTCATCAGACATGGGCAACGAGCATTGACCTCTATGGATAAGCACTACAAAGGCGTAACTTCGGTCTCTCCGCTCCACCTACTTCCGCCTTGTGTTGAGCTGGACCTAGTCAATGGTTTTCCTGTGGACTACATGCATTGTGTCCTCTTGGGGGTGACTAGGCAGCTGTTTTGCCTATGGTTCGAGCCAAACGACCAGTCCTTCTGCACGTTAGGCGGCACGGGCGGACATCGATAGCAGCGCCTCTATCGGTCACTAGGGAAAGCTGGGCTGTAGGCGACGAAATACCGGCTGAGTTATCACAAGTTAAATAGGTTTATAGACATCCGTCTTGTGAAAAAGTTGAACTTTTGCCTTCAATATTTCTACAGGCAATTTTAGAAGTGCCTTCACATAGATTACAAAACCGTTTAAATTATTTTATTCACTTCAAGCCTTCCCTATTGTTCTTGATGATGCGGGAACTATTTCTAATTAGTGTTTCTAGCTTAGTAAAAGAACATATTGTGCAAACGATGAAAAAATCATAAATGGAAGATTTTAAATGCAATTTTCTGTAACAAATAATGGTAAATTCTCTACACATCAAGGAAAAGGTGCATGCTAACTGATAATTTAAAGTTCTTGGGGCCAGTTGGTTTCTTCTTTTCTTACGTCGCCCCAATGGCCGCGAATACACTTGTGATAACGCCTATCGATTCGTAGATCGATGAAAGAGCTGGACGACGACCTCACCAAAATTCGTCCCCCGGATGATATTTCCAGACTCCCTCGCTCTCTTTCAACGTACAAGAAGTGGACTGCAACAAAGTGGCGGAACTGGCTTCTGTATTATTCGTTGCCACTTCTTCGTGGCGTCCTTCCAGACCGCTACTTTCGCCACTGGACATCGCTGGTCTCGGCCATGTTCATGCTTTTGAGTGGAAGCATCTCCATGCAAGATGTCGACGATGCGGACGCCAAACTCAAGGAGTTTGTGTCACAGACTGCGCGGTTATATGGAACGGAACAGATGTCGTGCAACGTACATACCCTGTTGCACCTGGCAAAGGCTGTGCGCAACTGTGGTCCTTTGTGGGCGACTTCAATGTTTCCCTTCGAGGGATTCAACCGGACGTTGTTAAAATTCTGCCATGGCACCAACCACATGGCCCAGCAGATGGCAGACAATTTTATTCTGCTTCGTATGGTATCTGCGCTGCAAGAAGACCGACGGTCGGCTGGGGATGGAGACGAGAGCGTAGATCGCTTAGTGACGAGGTGGCTGCGGGGATACTCGCTGACTGATCGGGCTGAGAAATCCATTGACGATGTGTTGGGGCTTGGGGCACCAGTGCACCGCGACCTCACGCTAGTAGAGAAAGATCTTCTCGCCGTGTCGGGGTTTGCGACAGCGGACCACCGCATTCCTGTCCGTGCGTATGGTCGAGCGATTGTAAATGGCCGTGTCACTTGCACCAGAGCATATGGCTCTGCGATGAAGCGCAACAGCTTCACGGTTAACACCGCTAGAGGCGTTTGTGTTGTCAACGACATTGTGTTTATCGGACCGGCTGGGGATGCCCGCTGTCATGTGTTCTGCGCGAAGTGTGAAACGACTCCTTTTGTACCAAGTGTAGCGCACATTGTGAAAGTTCAAGAAACGAGATCTGTGCTGGCACTACCGCCAGGTGACATGCATGGAAACGCAGTGATGGTGCGCTCCTCACGAAACGGCTTGTTGTGCTGTTTACAGCCAAATCGGTACGAAAAGGACTGAAGACTGAAACAGACTCTGCAGCCATGAAATCGCATGCGAGGGCCTATTCAACTACAGTGAATCACGCTCGCGTCTTGCACCAAAACATATTGCAAGCATCATCCGCATGCGATTGATGCGAGAAGGATTTTGATTTATTTGAATAGGCTCACGCATGCGATTTCCTGACTGCGGAAGGTCTCTGTTTCAGCCTTAAGATCCGGAAAACACTGGCTCTTCGGAGGGAGAAGTGAAAGGAGGGAGGGAGATCATGCTGATGTGTTTTCTGCCACCGTATGTTTTGTTTGCTTTTGTATCGGTTTGTGGTCAGAAACTTAAACGTGCGCTTTTTTAGTTCAAGACAGATATGTATGCAAAAATGGCTGTCCTCCGCTGTTTGCTGCATTGCAAACGTGTGTATGGCATGTTGTTAGGCGCTGTGTGCGATATATTGTCGTCACTGGCTAAGTTTGTGCTCAGTGAGATTATACACATCCCGCAAAGCTTATGTTCAATGGTGGTTATGAAGAATATATTGTAAAACTGTGGCGCGATCGATTAATTTTTTCAGCCATTGGGATTGGATGTGTATGACCGGCGGTCACACATACACACACGCACACGCACCTACACACGCACGCACATACAAGTTTCAGCATTCATTCGTCGCCTTTGCTACAAAAGACCTCATACACTTAACGCGCACATGTTGTATCTCAGGCGTTGACCGACGCCCTCTGATATTGTGCTGCGCTCGTGAATAGGAGTCCCAAGGCAAAAATGTATGACGGTGTCCCAAAGGATCCATTAGTGTCTCGAAAAATAACTGTCCAAAAGATATCCTACAGGATTACGTGCAGACTAAAGAGTTCTAACAGGGCATTATCTGATCGCAGTCCTATAGCAAAGTGCTATAGGAGTCCTATAGAGGTCCTATAGGACTCCCTTCAGACTAAAGAGTCCTATAGGACAATCTCTGATCGCAGTCCTATAGGAAAGTGTCCTATAGGACTCCTATAGGGGTCCTATAGCACTCCTATAAGACAATGTCCTATAGGAAAATGTCCTACAGGTTTTCTATAGAGTCCCATAAGAAAGTGTCCTATAGGACAATATCCTGCAGGAAACCTATAGGAATCCTATAGAAAAGTGTCCTATAGGACAAAATCTATAGGAATCCTATTAGTCCTATAGGACACATCGCCAGTCCTATAGGACTTTTTTGCTAGGGTTTTTGCGGTGTTTATCAATGAGTATTGTATTGTATTGTATTGAACAATCATGAGCGATCCACATTCTGAAAGTGCGTGGCGATTACTGCTCAGAATCCGTATCCGCGGTTACTAATCTAAACATTCACAGCATTCACACATTCACTCACGTCAAAGCACGGACAGAGACACTTTCGTAGTACCACAGGTACAACTCACCCACCCACCAACCCGTTGGTCAGCGACGATCAGTTGATGCCCTGTCCACTATCGCGGCTTTAACAGATCGGGCAAAGGAGACAGCTGCGACAGCTGAGTTGGGAGACTGTTGAGTAGAGCTGCGGCTCGATAGCCGAGCCGCCGCCTACCCGTTTCCAGCCGTGGTCGCGGAAGGTGAAAGAGGTGTTCTTGCCTGGAGTGTCTCTCCCGGACAGCGCTGTTTGTGACGAACATGGCTGCCAATTCCTCGGGTTCGCCGCGCTGAATGGCTTTGTGGGCGATAACAAGGGTTTGGTAATCAGCCATATGACGCGGGGACAACCACCCGAGCTTTTTTCGCAGGTCAGAGACATGGGCAAATTTACGGCGACCGAAAATGACTCTAGCAGCGAAGTTCAATTTTTTTTTTGGGAGACGATCGAATTTTTTTTGGGACCCATTGCCATAAACTGAGAGGCAGTACTGGATGCGTGAGATAACGAGTGCTGTCACGAGCGTTCTAATGATGCCATCCGGGAGACTGTGGTGCGCATGGGAGAGACCGATCAACAGTCCCGTACACCGGCGGCTGAGTTCGGAGACGTGAGCGTCCCAGGATAGAGTACTGTCAAAAGTGACGCCCAGGTTCCCAACCTGCGCGCACGGCTGCAACGCGGCGTCACGAAACGATACCCTGAAATCTGGCAATTTGCGTAAATTTTGACGACTGCCGAAGACAATGAGCTGTGTTTTACTGGCGTTGACCTTTAGGGCGTTAGCGCAGAACCATTCGTTGAGTGACGCGAGCGAAACCTCCATGCGCGAGATGAGAACTCCAAGGTCCCTGGCAGGACCGCTAACCAATACTTGGGTGTCGTCGGCATTTTGAAAGACTACTGCATCACCCGCGTACAGCGATAAGTTGTTAGAGAAGATGGTGAAAAGTAACGGCCCTAACGCAGAGCCCTGGAAGACACCCATGGTATTAGGAAGAGGCCGAGACAGCACTCTACTGCCGGACCCATTTTTCAACGACACGCTCTGGGTGTGTCCATGAAGATAGGCGGCGAACCAGGAAATTTCGATACCGTGCAGCATAAGTTTTTGCATCATAAGCTCGTGGTCTATCACGTCAAAAAAAAAAAAACATTTACTAAGATGGAGAAGGCATAGCATTGAGATCTCCCCCTTGTCGGTGGCGGCCAGGATGCGTTCAGTGACGGACAACAACGCGGTTTCAGTAGGGTGCCGGGGGCGGAAGCCGTGCTGTGAGAATGCCAGAAGGTGATTGTGAGAGAGGTAGATGTAGAGCTGTTGATGGACAATGCGCTCAACCACTTTCATGATTACAGGAACCAGGGAAATGGGCCGGAAGTTTGCGAGGTCTGAAGGATTGCCGGATTTGAGCAGAGGGTGAACAATGGAATGTTTCCATGAATCGGGGATATCGGATTGAATTAAGCAGGTATTGATAATATGCAGGATGACACCACCAATAGCTCGGAATCCGGCTTTCAGCATGCGAACGCAGACACTGTCGGTACCGCAAGCACCCGAGCTACGCATGCTGAAAATCGTCTGCTCAAGCTCGGCAAGTGTGATTTCCCGAAGTTGAAAACTGCATGCACCAACAAGGGTAAGACGTACAGTATATCTAAAAAGTATGTCCCCTGGTTTGGCTCTCCCACAGGAGGCGAATCGGTAACTTGGCTGAATCCCAGTTGCGGCACCCGGCCGCCAGGGTCGCTGCCGCGCGAGCGGCCTTGACCGCTCGCATGTCATTGGCAGTTCGGTCCCTCCCCATCAATACCGAGGTGGGGAGGGGAGAAGAGGGGAAGAGAGGGGAGGGAGCGGCATCCGCTCGGCACTGGGCGATACCTGGCTGACCCCGCGCTCCCTCGCTGACCTTTGTCCTGCCCTCAGGCGAAGACCGACTTCCTGGCCTGTAGCGGCCCAGCGGAAAACCGAGCTCGCGGGGCGCGACTCCATTGGCCCAATCTTATATATGGAATGCTGTCGTATTCACGGCATTAGATAATATTAAAGGTAGTGTGCCACCTTTGAAAGATTTTCCATTTTATTTTTCCTAGGATAAGAAGCTTCTGTTTTTACCTAATATCGCAAAAAAAAATCAAAAATGGGCCTGGAATAGTGCCTTTTTCGCCTAAAAGTTTTTCGGTTTTTAGATATGTATAACAACTGTAGTGGGCTCACCTGCAAACAGGCGTCGGGCAACAATCGCGAATGCGGCGCACTTGTGACAATAAGCAAAGGTCATTATAGTGTTACGACCATACGACGTACGGGAATGAGTTATCAGCTGTCTAATCGTAGACAACACTATGTCGAGCCTTAAAGGTAGTGTGCCACCTTTGAAAGATTTCCCGTTTTATTTTTCCTAGGATAAGAAGCTTCTGTTTTTACCTAATATCGCAAAAAAAAAATCAAAAATGGGCCTGGAATAGTGCCTTTTTCGCCTAAAAGTTTATCGGTTTTTAGATAT